ATAGAGAACAGGCTGACAGCGACCAAAGGGGAGAGGGGAGGGAATTTCAGGGGAAAAGGGGAAGAATTTACATCAACTAGTATAAGGGACACATGGACAAAAACTAAGGGACAGTGGAAATGGGAAGCAGGTGGGGAGCACTGGGGGGGTGGGCTGGGTTGGGAGATAAATAAATAAATAAATAGCAAATGCCAGGAGTTTTAGGCAATCAATAGTACACAGTTATTCACACAGTAAATTGTTAATAAAAGCCTTTTGAAAAAAAATAAAATAATGCCATATACCTAAAATAATAATAATACATCATGATCAAGTGGGGTTCATTCCAAGGGCACAAGGATGGTTCAACATATGCAAATTGATCATTGTAAAACACCACTTTAACAAAACAAATGATAAATCATATGATCTTATCAATAGATGCAGAAAAAGCATTTGATAAGATACAACATCCATTTATGTAAAACAGTCAATAAAATGGGTTCAGAAAGAAAGTACCTCAACATAATAAAGGTGTATGACAAACCCTCTGCTAATCTTATACTGCGTGGTGAAAAACTGAAAGCTTCCCTCTAAAATCAGGACAAGACAAGGATGGCCATTCTCACCACTCATTCATCACTGATTGTTCTGGAAGTCCTAGCCAGAACAATCAGGCAAGGGAAAGAAATAAAAGACATCCAGAGTAGAAATGAAGAAGTAAAAGTGTCACTTTCTGCAGCTGTCATGATTCTGTATACAGAAAACCCAAAAGGCTCCACCAAAAAAATGCTTACAAAAAATAAATAAATACAGTAGAGTTTCAGGATGCAAAATCAATGTACACATAAAAAAATCCACTGTTTTCCTGTACACCAACAATAAAATTTCAGAAAAAGAAATGAAAAAACAATTCATTTTTAACTGTAGCCAAAAGAATAAAATACCTAGAAATAAAGCTTGTGAGGGATCTATATACTGAAAAGTACAAAGCATTATTAAAAGATTGAAAAAAACACAAGAAAACGGACTTGATATTCCAAGTTCATGGACTGAAAAAAATCAACATGTTTAAGATGCCATGTTACCTAAAACAATAAAGAGATTTAATGCAATCCACATCAAAATCTCAATGACACTTTTTAAAGAAACTGAACAAATACATCATTAGATTTGTATGGAACTACAAAAGACCTCAAATAGCCAAACCAATAATGAGAAAAAAGAAGCCAGATGTGTGACTTTAAATTATACTACAGAGCATGGCATTGGCAGGAGAACAAACACACAAACAAATGGAACAGAACTGAGAGCCAGAAGTAAAGCCACATGTATATGGGCAAATCATTTTTGACAAAGGAGCCAAAAACACACAATGAAGAAAAGAAACCCTGTTCAATAAACAGTGCTGGGAAAATTGGAAAGTCATACACAAAAGAATAAAACTAGATTATAGCTTATGCCAAAATACAAAAATTAATTCAAAATGGATGAAAGACCTAAACAAAAGATCTGAAATAATAAAATACATGGAAAAAAACAAAGGCACTAAACTTATGGATCTTGATGGTAGAGAACATTTTATGAATTTGACCCCAAGGACAAGGGAAGGAAAGGCAAAAATAAACAAATGGGACTATATCAAACTAAAAAGCTTCTGCACAGCAAAACAAACTGACAACAAAACAAAAAGGCAATGAAACCAAATGGGAGATATTTGCAAACAACAGCTCCAACATATCCAAAATATGTAACTCATATGACTCATCACCAAACAAACAATCCAATTAAAAAATGGGCAGAGGACCCAAACAGACTCTTCTCCCAACAAGACATACAAATTGCCAAAAGATATATGAAAAGATGATCCATTTCAACAGCTATTAGGGAAATGCAAATCCAAACAACAGTAAGATACTACTTCATACCTGTTAGAATGGCTATTACCAAAAAGACAGGTAATAACAAGTATTGGAGAGGTTGTGGAGAAAAGGAACCTTCACTGTTGGTAGGAATGTAAACTGGCACAGCCACTACAGAAAACAGTATAGAGGTTCCTCAAAAAATTAAGAATAGAGTTACCATATGAGCCAGCAATCCCTTTTCAGGGTATCTACCAAAGAGACTTGAAAATATTTACTCAGAAAGATATGTGCACCACTATGTTCACTGCAGCATTATTCACAGTGGCCAAGTCATGGAGACAACCAAAGTGTCCTTTGGTAGAAGTCTGGATAAGAAAGGCATGGTACATACACACAATGGAATACTACTCAGCCATAAGAAAATATGAAATGCTGCCATTTGTGACAATGTGGATGGATCTTGAGAATATTATGCCAAGGGAAATCAGTCAATCAAAAAGAGCTAAGAACCACATGATTTCACTCGTGTGTGGGATATAAAACTGAAATTCATAGACAACAGTATTGTGTTTACCAGAGAGAATGAGATGAGGGAAATAGTAAAAGATAAAGAAGGCCGAATATAAGGTGATAAAAGATGTTTTGTTGGTGGGTATACAATGCAGTATACAGATCATGGGTCACAGAAATGTGTACTTGAAACCTATGATCCTATTAACTAATGTCACCCCAATAATTATAATAAAAAATAACATTTGCATGTCCATTTCTAAGAACTGACTGTTATTTGTCAATTTTTCTGTGTGCTAGTTTTTTTGAATTTTTTGTTTTTGTGTTGTTTATATAAATGGTATCAGAACTTTATTTTATGACTTTTTTTTCAAAATTTGTCTTTTATATTTGCTTCATTTTTGTCATGCATTCTGTATTTTTTGTAGTTGTTTTAGATGATTTCCTGTTTAAAGGCTAGCATCCTTCTCTCACTCTGAAGAATGAGTACTTTTAGAACAGTGCTGCTAAAATATATGTATAGAATATGAACAGTCCTGCATTTTTTGTTTAGAAAGAAGTTAACAGATTGTGAAACCCTTCAGGCGAAACTTTTCAACTCGGTGCCTACATGAAACATCATAGCAATATTAAAGGAGAGAAAGGGATTTTCAAGGAAAGAAAGCTGAAAGCGGAATTCAAAGAGAAAGTAAATGAAAGGAATACGGAAAGCTTTGTGAATAAAATGCTTCTTCTACAGTGAATGACAAATAATAATCCAGAAAGGAATTATTTTTTGTAAATTACTAATTACACTCTCAATATATTTATTTAGTGTTTATTATTTTTCCTACAACAAAATTATTTTCCTTATAAACACACATGAAATAATATGTATTAGAACATGAATATATATAATTCAGTCTTTACAAAATGTTATTGTGTATGTACAAACAGACACATATCCTTTGTGTTTCCACTTATTTTACTTTTTTGGTGTGTTTTAATGTATATTCTTTTAACATATTTCCAAGTTAGAACCTCTAAATAGAGGTATCAAATGTCTTAAAACTACATATTACTCCACCTTTGAACGTTCATGCATGCTCTTTTGCCTAATGTCACTGACCTATAAAATTCACAACACTGTCAAAGTGTGATGATGGGCAGTTTTGGCTTTTCCAAATTTGGGGGAAATGGTGCTACCGTTTCAAGATAACCATATGAGTGAGACACACAGATGGAGATTTTTGGTCTATTCCAATTGTTGCAGTAATTTAAATTACTGAATCCATACCCTCTTAGTTAGGTGGGAAATCATTACTGCATTACAGTTTTAGTGGCTTCATTTCAAATGTGCAATGTAAATATCACCTCACACCTGTCAGGATGGCTATCATCAATAAATCAACAAACAAATGCTGGTGATGATGAGGAAAAAGAAGGACTGTAGTGCATTGTTGGTGGGAATGCAGACTGGTACAGCCACTATGGAAAACAGTATGGCGTTTCCTCAAAAAAAAATTAAACGTGGAACTGCCTTTTGACCCAGTAATCCAATTTCTGGGAATATATCCTAAGAATCTTGAAATACTAATCAGAAAGAATATATGCACTCCTATGTTCCTAGCAGCAGCATTATTTACAATAGCCAAGGTCTGTTAAAAGCCCAAATGCCCATCAGTAGATGAGTGGATAAAAAAAGCACTGATACATTTACATACTGGAATTCTAGTGGCTGTAAAAAAAAAAAGGAACTCACCCTTTGCAACAGATGGATGGACATGGAAATTATTATGCTAAGCAAAATAAGCCAGTCAGAGAAGGACAAACACCATATGATCTCACTCACATGTGGACTCTAATGAACAAAAACTGACAAACAAAATAAAACCAGAGGGCTGGATACCGGGACAGAAGGACAGATCTCAGACGAAAGGGAGTTGGGGGGACTGGAAGAGATTAGTCAAAGAACATATATGCATATATACATAGCCCATGGACACAAACTACAATGTGATGAAGGTTAGGACGGAAGGAGGAGTTGGGGAAAACGGGGACATCTGTAATAGTGTCAAAAAATTTTTTAAAAATCAATTAAATTGTATAGCGTAAGAGAAGATAAACAAGACCGGAAAATAAAAGACAAATCTAAGTCTTGAAATACATACATATATATTACAGAAACAAAGCAAATACACCCAAATGAATCAGGTCGCCCACACCTGTCCGCATTGCTAACGTGACACGGGGGCCTCTCCAGGAACCCCGCCTGCCCCGCCCCCTCTCCGAGTAAATAAGTGACTATAAACCATTTTTTCTGCCTTTCCGCCTGGCCCAATTCCTTGAGGGCTTCGCGGAGAGAATGCCCGCGAGAGGCAACGGAACCCTCAGGCGGGACGGGCCTGCGGGACAGAGCCGCGGGTGGGGCCCTGGAAGCACCGCGCCCCGCGCCTTTCCACCGCGGGGGAAGCCGGCTGTGGCCAGGGAGGCCGGGCGCGCGGCCAGGTCTCTAGCGCGTCCCTCCCGGGCCCAGCCCGCTCCCCAGCAGACGGCCTTCTCGCGGGGCCCCTACCTCCACCCCGGGCTGCACTCGGCTCGCGGCCCACGGCCGGGAACTTTGGCAGCCACCTGAGGCTGCGGCGCCCAGCGATCTACCCCGCTCACCGCTGGGTCGGCCCGTCCGATCGGCACTCGCTGCACCCGGCCTGGGGTCTAACTTTCTGCACCGAAGAGAGAGACTGGGGCGGGGAAAGCGAGAGAAAGGGGAGGGTGTTCCCAACAAAAAGAAACCAGAGCCCGAGGGTTGGGGGGGAGGTGCGGTGGGACTCAGCCGGGGTTGACGTATCCGGGCTCAGGACCCCCAGCTCGGACTCCGCCCAGCTCTCTGCACTCAACGGGTCAAGGCTGGGACAGCAAGCGGTGCTCCGGGGGCTGGCTTCCAAACAGAGGACGAGAGGGAGAAGGTACTAAAGAAAAATCGACTGGTCTCTACTCTAATGTTCAGTGACTGAAGAGATAAGCCTTAGTCCACCGTGGCCCCGTATCAGGGACGGGCAGGTTCCAAAGCCAGAGAGGAAGGGCTCTGTCAGAGGCTCCATGAATTCTGAAAGGATGAGAAGAAACTACTCTGACAAGAGGCCCTGTTGATTCTCATCTGCTCCCACCCCACGCCCTCGGCTGGGAATTGGCCTTGGCCTTGCAAGGCTGTCTGGAAAGACTGGGATCAGGCCCAGGGTTTTTGTTTTCTTTTCTACAGGATCAGAGCAGACCAATTGGCTGTGGAAGGGGGGCACCTGGAAAGAGGTGAGGGGAGCAGGGTGCCTGTGTTATCTGAGGTTTGGTGAGAAATGCAATTTGTTAATTGCCCTCCTTAGGCACAAAATCTTTTTTCAAACTAATCTTGTCAGGTCTGTGGTGGTCCACGGGGAGAACCTTAATGTCCCTGACCTTACAGAAAATCAAAACTAGACAGAAGTAATATAGATTAAGCGCTGATGAGTCCTTGGCAGTGCTCCACTATGGGAGAACTTTGGACAGGGAAAGGCAAATGTGAGTGGAGTTCTGGAATTTTCCATCTTACTTTGTATGTATGCCATTTGTTAGTATGCTTGTGAAAACAGATTTTTTAAATTCATATTGCATCTCTCAGTAGTAATTGCACAGGACATAATCCAATTAGAGACAGTGTTATTTTGAAAGCATAAAACGGAGACTTCTGGTCAAGATGGTGGTATAGGCAGACATAGTCCACCTCTTTACACAACCACATAAAAATTACAACTAAAATATAGAATAACCATCACTCCGGTCAGAAATCTAGTTGGATAAAAGTCTGACAACTACGGAATTAAAGACAACACATCCATCCAGACTGGTAGGAGGGGTGCAGACGCTGAACTTGATGGTTACACACACATGAGTGGCAGATAAATTTTAGGACGGTTATATCAGGAGCCAGCAGTCCCAGCCCCAAACCAGGCTGCCCCAGCCCAGGGTTCTAGTGCCAGGAAGCTAAGTCACCACAACTCTGCAAAAACCAGTGGGGACTGAGTTGGTGAAAGAAACTTCTGGAGCCCCAGGCAGTTCTTCTTAAAGAATCCACATACAGACTCACTTACTCCGACAGACTTCCCCCAAGCCCTGGAGCTATGGTGGCAGCTTGAAAGCCTCCAGTGGCATGCCAGGACAGAGTGAACTGTCTGGCATTGAGGCAAGCAGAGGCCATTGTCCCTTTTCTGGGCCTTCCCCCCACAGAGCCATGGAGCGGCAAGCTGGTGCCATATCTGAAACTCTGTCAACCAGCTAACATTGTTTGACCCACCTTGGAGGTCCCCAGGGACTGCCCCCCACCCAACTTAGAGGCCTACCCAAGCTGCTTTTCCATATGAATTGCTGGTGGTCATGGCTCATGCTTAATAACTTCCCGAATCCTACTGAACAAGCAATAGCTGGCCTCAGTGAGCCCCAGGCCCAGCACCAGCGGCAGCCAGCCTAGACTCACAGCTTGGCTTCCCCTGGGAATCTCTAAGCCCAGCATGATAGGAGCCATCTCAGATTGCTTTATAGCTCAGGCAGGGTGGTCCTGGGCAAACACAGAGGGGTTAACCTTGACATCCACCACCCAGGAAACACCAGGGCAGGCATACCCATGGGACAGCTACAGACCACATTGGAGCAACACCACCCTGCCCCTGCATAGCTGAGCCTCCGTGGAGAGTGGGGTTAGGTGGTCAATGGTCACAGTGAATCCTTGCAGCTGATTAGTCTGGGTAAATCTCTCCCATTGATCTGCCAACAGCAACCAAGGCTAAACTACAAGAGGAGGGTGTACTCAGCCCACAAGAAAGGGCACACCTCAAATAGCACAGGTTGAGTGATAGGGGAAGCTATGCCACTGGACCCTACAGGACACCTACTACATTAGGCCACAGTACAAAGACATGGAGCCAAAACAGCTCTGCAGAAACAAACACAGGGAGACTGCTAAAATGAGGTAACAAAGAAACATGGCCCAAATGAAAGAACAGATCAAAACTCCACAAAAAGCTAAACTAAACAAAAAGAACATAAACAATCTATCAGATGCAGAGTTCAAAACACTGTTTATAAGGATGCTCGAGGATCTTAGTGAGAACCTTAACAGTATACTAGCAATCACTAGTTTACTTGGTGTGTTTCCCGTTGGATCCAACTTCTTTGGAACTTGCTGAGTGTCTTGGACTTGCATGTCTACTTCCTTCACTAGACTGGGGAAGTTCTTCATTATATTTTCAAATAAGTTTTCAATTTCTTGCTCTTCCTTCTCTCCTTCTGGCACCCCTATTATTCAGATGTTGGAATCCTTAAAGTTGTCTCAGAGGTTTCTAAGCCTCTCCTCATTTAAAAAAAATTCTTGTTTCTTCATTCTGTTATAGTCGAATGCTTATTTCCCATATCCTTCCCCTACCTTCTCCCAGCTGATAATCCTCCAAATGACCTTCATATCTCTGAATTTGTTCCTCTTCTTGTTGTTTGCTCAGTTTGTTTTTGTTTTTTAGATTCAGTTGTTGATAGTTGTGTTTGTTGGGATTTTAATGTTCATAGTTTTGAACTTCTTCCTTTTCTTGAAGAAGTCCCTTTAACATTCATGTAATAATGGCTTGGTGATGATGAATTCCTTTAACTTTACCTTGTATGAGAAGCACTCTATCTACCCTTCCATTCTAAATTATAGTTTTATTGGATAGAGTAATCTTGGTTGTAGGTCCTTGATTTTCATCACTTTGAATACTTCTTTCTAGTCCCTTGTTTCCTGAAAACATTCTTTGGAGAAATCAGCTGATTGTCTTATGAGAACTCCTTTGTAGGTAACTCTCTGCCTTTTTCTCTTGCTGCTTTTAATATTCTCTCTTTGCCTTAACCTTTAGCATTTTAATTATTATGTGTTTTGTTGTGGTCCTCTTTGGGTCCAACTTATTTGGGATTTTCTGGCTTTCTGGACTTGTATGTTTATTTCTTTCACAAATTAGGGAAGTATTCTTTCAATATATTTTTCAAATAAAGCTTCAATTTCTTGATCTTCATCTTCTCCTTCTGGCATCCCTGTGATTCAGATGTTGGCACTTCTGGAGGTGTCCCAGAGTCATCATATACTATCCTCATTTTTAAAAATTCTTGTTTCTTCTTTTTGTTCTGGTTGAATGTTTATTTGTCCCTTATATTTCAGAGTGTTGATTTGAATCCTGGCTTCCTTCCCTTCACTGTTGGTTCCTTGTGAATTTTTCTTATTTCACTTAGTGTAACCGTCATTTCTCCCTTATGTCTTTGCCATACTCAATGAATTCTCTGAGCATCCTATCACCAGTGTTTTGAGCTCTGCATCCAATAGGTTGGCTATGTCGGTTTTGTTTAGTTCTGTAGTTTCATTTGGGCCATATTTCTTTGTCTCCTCAATTTGGCAGCTTCCCTGTGGTTGTTTCTGTATTAGGTAGAGCTGCTTTGACTCCTTGTCTTACTTAGAGCAGCTGTTAAGTTGTATGGGGCAGAGCCTTAGGTATTCACCAGTCGCAGCAGCCCAATTCACCACTTTGTGCCTCTGTGTGGTGGGAGGATTAGGGTTAGGGAGTCGGGACAATGCCACTGCCTAGCTTCTGGAGGTTTGCCTGGCACTTGCCCTTTTTCCAGTCACTTCACCCGTCCTGTATGTGACTTCTAGTTGTTGCCCTGGTGGTGATTCCCAGAGTGAGTAGGTTTGTATATGTTCTAAATCTGTGCAGGCCCTTTAAACAAATTATCCTGAGAAAAACTGCAGTTTCTTTTGCCACCAAAAACCCTACTGGTTTTTACAGCCAGAAGTTATGAAGCTTTATCTTCCCAGCACTGGGGCCTTGAACTATGTGGTCTGGCCTGGGTGTGGGATTTCTGGCTCTCAACGATGAGAGCCAGCAATCGCACATCCTGATTTTTACCCACCACACATAAACTTGGGACTGCCTATTCTGCTGCTACTGCCACCACTGCCTCTCCACGCCACACTTTGTCCTCTCCACCCTGACTCCATGATTCCACCCCTCCTACCCATCTGGATGAATATGGCTTCTTTAAATCCTTGGCTGTCAGTCTTCCATGCAGTTCAAGTGTCTGGTAGTTCTGGGTGTTTTTTGTTTTGAGGTGGTGGTGTAAGGAGGCAAAGTGTGTCTGCCTATGCCTCCATCTTGGTCAGGATTTCCAGTTTCATAGCATTATGATCAGAGAATATGCTTGATGTGATTTTAGTCTTAAATTTCTTGAAACTTATTTTGTGTCCTATGTGTAGTTCACCCTAGAAAATGTTCCTAGTGCACTCAAAAAGAATATATGTCCTGCTGCTTTGAACTGCTCTGCAGATGTCAATTAAATCCATTTGATCTAGTGTGTCATTTAAGGCTGCTTTCTCCTTGTTGATATTCTGTGTGGAAGATCTAGCCATCGAAGTCACTGAGGTGTAAAATCTCCTACTAGGACTATATTTCTTTTGATCTCTCCCTTTTTGCCCATCAAGATTTGTTTTACATATTTAGGTACTTCTACTGGGTTCAAAAATTATTGGATTGTTCCCTATGTTACTATGTAGTGTCATCTTTGTCTCTTACTCTTGGTTTTAAAGTCTATTTGTTGGATATATGTATTGCTACTCCAACTTATTTTTTCTTTGCATTTCTTTGAATTCTCTTTTTCCATCTCTTTACTTTAGTCTGTGTGTATCTTTCGTTCTGAGATGGGTCCCTGGGAGACAGCATATATGAGGGTCTTGTTTTCTTATTCATTCAGCTACTGTATGTCTTTTGACTGGAACATTTAA